AACACACATTTTCTTACCAGTATCTATTTTATTTTATTTGTTACCACGCCATCATTTTAAAAAACGCTAAAATTGGATCAGCAATCAGACCTATTAAAACCCAAAGGCTATGCTTCTACCATTTGCACTAGTTGCATCAATGCACACCTATAAAAAATTGTTGTACGAAGTCCAATAAAACTCCAAAATCCTCATTAGATACGAAAACAATTATTTTACTTTTTTGTTGAAAACGTGATTTAAGACCGCTTTGCGTCAAATACTATAAAACTCTTGCTCCCTTTTAGTATGTTTGAGCCGTATAGATCGGCAGAGACAAGGCACACTTTAAAAAAAAAATATAGGCAAGAAAAATGACTATTAATATATAGCCACTATGCCGTATCATTTGAGATTTAATTGAATAATTAAAAGAAAAAAAGTTAATTTAAGTTAATTACATAATAATCCATTTATTTTCGCACGTGGAACCCACTTGGTGTACTTCCACGTTCCCCTTAGAGCACTGACCCACTCATCAAATCAATGCATCTTTATAAGCCCCTTCATCGTCACACACACCTCTCTCTCATTGTTCCATATTCTTCTAATTTCATTTTTTTACACTTCAAATCATATAGATTCTTCTTACACAACACAACCAACGAACTAGCTCCCAAGCCTAATCTTTTTCCTTCCTTACAAAATTGTCTTGGATCTCTCTATATATAATGCAAATGACAGAGAGAGGTCGAGCCATGTGGCGCACATGCCTAGCCTCAGCGTTCCGTACAGCTCTAGCATGCACGATCGTTGGCTCCGCTACACTCTACGGCCCCGAGTGGATTCTCCGCCACGTCGCTCTCCCGGCCTTTTCTTACGTCACGGTCATTCTCATAATCACTGATGCCACACTCGGCGACACGCTGCGTGGTTGTTGGCTAGCCCTATACGCAACGTGTCAGAGCGTGGGACCTGCGATCCTCACCTTACGGCTCATAGGACCAGCTCGTCTTTCGGCCGCAACCACTGCTCTTGCCGCGGCTCTAGCAGCGTTCGTGGTGGTGCTACCTAACAGTTCGACCCACTTGGTAGCTAAGCGGATCGCGCTTGGCCAGATCGTTCTTATTTACGTTATTGCGTACATAAAAGGAGCAGAGACTGAGCCACTCATGCACCCTCTTCAAGTTGCAGCCAGCACCGCGCTTGGTGTTATAGCTTGCGTTCTAGCACTACTCATTCCACTCCCTCGCTTTGCTACTTGCGAGGTACCATTTCACTCTTTATATACACATAAGATACCCTATCGTTTTTAATTTACGTATATGGGCACACATGTAACTCTCTACGTAGTAGTAGAACTATAGCCTAGATTCTAGCACATAGTGACTGACGGAAAAGCAACCTTCAATACAAACGCAAATAAACAACCGAGATCTCTGTACTGTATGGTTTATTAATATCTCGCACAGGAAGAACATTTTATTTAGAGAACTTTTCTATTTTATTTAGAGAACTTGCTTTAGAGTAGAATATATTTCTAGTTTCTACGATTATGAAAACGTTACGTGATATTCCCATATTTGGTAGTTTATTAGTTTTAATTCTTTATAGACATATACATGTTCGAATAAATTGAGGAACAAACGACGAAAGTAATCAACGAGCATAATAATAGATAATATAACCTGTTATATTGGTGGACTTGGTAATACAGTCACACAACATGTTGACGTGGGGCTTTCAGAGTTTGTTGATAACTTTATTCCGTACCACATTATTATATACTAATATTTTTCTTATGTCATAAACCACCACCTGAAATTCTATCTTAGTTCTTCCCAATATTGCGAACAAGCTGTGTCGCATCACAGACAAATATGATACCATTTTTGATTAATTAATATAACTCGATCGACCCTCCATTTTTCTTCGTTAATGGTAAACTTCTTCGTGTATAGTAAAAATATGTTAAACAACCTATTGGTAATGGTGCAGGATTCTCTAATATTATTAAGAAAATAAATAGGAAACTATTTTTGACCC